GCCTCCTGGTACTCAACTATTTCCCTTTTTATTAATGGTTATAACAATTATATGATACTGAAATAACTTCAATCACAAATAATGAAGAGGTTTTCTTCACGAAGAATCAAAGACAGATGACTTTTTTTTCTACAGAGAAAAGGAAGCTGTCAGTACATAAGATTATTATTTATCGTTTATGTAGTATGTAAACCCATTTTACGGTATATAATTATGTTCAAACAAATCTTGCGTTGATTTTGGTCCTTTTCCGACCGATACCAGAATGTTTGCGGAATTCGCTTAACCATCGTTGCCGCGCCATGCTATTCCACGGATAATCGAGATTTTACTGGATCCCGAAGCACGCGAAATAATGACTGAAACGTTGGACCTGCAACGAAGTATATTTTGACCTACCCCAACGATCACGACGAGGTCAAGATCACCACGAGTATAGCTATTTTACAGCTTTAGGAGTAAAAAATAGAATAAATATTTACTTTGCATGTTTCAACAGTGCTTTAGTATTATCTTTCCGGTTTTCTAGTAATAAAAATGTACTTAGAATATGATCTCGATTCGTGACTTCTGTCGATAGACGCACGGGATGCACTGCACGGGATAATAACTATACAAACGCTGAGAGCGCATTGATTGTGCTTCCAACAGGAGTCTGCAGCTCGCTTTTGGCCGGTGGAGCGCGGGGAGGAAGGGGGGGGGGTAGAAAACTTGCGCGGCGAGCGCGAAACCTCCAACTCGATTGGCGGATCCCCGCCCCTCCCCACTCCGCTCATCCCTGCCCGCGCTGCTCGGCCGGCCGCCGACCAACTTCCCCATCTTGGCACAGAATACGCAGAAGCGACAACTATTAATTGGCCGTCGGCGAAACCCGGAACAAAGTTATACGGGCAGCAGTCAATACTCACAGAGTTCATGGCTAGACTTTAAACCAAATGCCTATTTTACTCTTTTAAGGAAGTAGACATTCGAAATTAACTATCTCCATGTTGTGACTAAAATACTTATTTCGTAGTTATTGCCTAAATTGACTATTCTATCAGTAAAAGTCTAACAATGATGTACGGTCTCACCGAAATCGTGTGGAACAAGCATGCAAGTCTGAACAAAAAATAAGAGCGAAGCTGAAAAATGTATTAAATTAAAATAACGAATAATCGTAGATGAGGCCTGCTTCAAAAGAGGACACCACCAATTACTTCAACATTCAAAATATCAAATACAAGTGTGGGAGTAGAAAGACCTGAATATTTTGGTACAAACCAATAAAATGCATGTCTATTTGTGCTTATTTAAAATATTTTATTAAATACTCAAATTATATTTTGATAAAAATAGTAAAACTGAATGTATATAAATAAATTTTCAAGTCACTTTATATTCAATATATACGAAATAATACAGTCCATTTCCGTCTTTTAATAACCTATTTTAAGTCCATAAAATGCGTATTAGTGCCCAAATACCCGAGGTTTAATAATCAATAAATCACCTAGAATCACAAATATGTTGTGACTATCACTACTCATTATAGATACCTATAAATCAATTTCCTCTGGGGAAGAATTCACTTTATTCACTATTCACTTTACCCCGATATGCGAAAACTGAAAAGCTTTAGAAAGTATTCTCCTGTTTCACCAAACTGTCGCTTGATTGAATTCAAACCAACAAGGCCGTGTTTAGAGCGGCGGTTGTTCCTTTTCACCACGACCTAATATGATTCGGGTCCCCGAGGCGTGCGCTGGTGCCTCTTGGCTGCCGTAGGGGATCGCGGCGGTGACGAAGCGATAGAGAAATTTCTGTGGCAACTGCCGCGGGGCTGTGACAAACGGACCTCAAAACGACGGACGCCACTGCCGATCCGACAACGTCCCTAATTTCGACACCAGATTAAATTGGAAAACCAACCATACAACCAAGAAACTACGACTCACTAAAATCCAGCTAATACAACTAAGCCCCTACACAACAACAAAAGCAGATGTTCATTAAACTGTGCAATCGCCTTATTTAAAACAATAATTAGACTGTTTATGCTGTAAGCTTGCCCAATATAGATCAATGCCTCACAAACCAATATAAAAATTCAAATAATGCAAAACGCAGAGTCCGACCGAACAGCAACACATGTCCCTCGGTTCATATCAAACAGAAAACTTCATAAAGAATTAAACACTACATATCTACCGTACAACCCACCTCTCTAATAACTTATTTTAGAACATAAACTCAATATCTCACGGCGCTCACAATAGTCTAGCATTATTTACTATTTCCCACCCCGCATAAAAAACAGGTTCCCATTAGAAGCATTCCTGAATATTTTTCAAACAAAAGCTAAAAATAGAAGTTTCTCTACGAGACTCCTGCGCCAGTTTGTATTTTGTTTAACTAAATGTAAATTAGATTAAGTTCAGTCTGTTACAAGTCAACATAATATACGTGAAAAAGTTAATCAAATGAACCATTTACACATAAACAATAAATAAATCTAAAAAAGAGGTTGTGCCCATCAGTTTCAATATTTTGGCAGTTTTAATATATCCAACTCCCTCCGAGGGAATTTATTGTGTTTGTCAGGCATTCCCTTACCTCCATTTTGTTTCCACATTAGTGTACGTAGAACGTAGTGGTATCAACGAGGCAAATTTCATTAGCTTTGCGCTCTCCCCAACCGTATTTCCAATATTCGCATATTTGAAGCTTATTTCGTCAATACAAAAAAAATGTGTCGTTTGAAGTCAGCTCTTTGCCTCCCCTCTAACGCCTAACCCTTCCGATGCAACCGCATCGGGGTGTTGTTGTTGATGTTGTTGTTGTTGTTGTTGTTGTTGCACCCGAGAGGCAGCATGTGCAACGGTGCGAGATCGGCGATGGCCGGGGTTCGACGCTCGCCAAGTTCCGCGTGCGGCAGTCAAACTGTTTGCCTCGCCGCCCGGCCAGGTTTAGCGGTGAGTTTTTTTGAATCGGCGGCGGATTCCACAGTGTCCATTATTTTTACATCGTGTTGACGCAATGAGTGGCCTTTGACATCCCGCATACATTCAGCTGCAAACCAGTGCGAGTCAACATTAAATTGAGATATAGCTGAATGTTTCAAACGCTTTTTCCCCACATAGTTGTGACTTTGAGTAGTAGCAAATGTGAGCTTTGCACGTGTTTATTTACGGAAGCCTCGCATTAATCGATTGCCCTAAAGCTTCGGTCATGTCGACTAAAGTAAATATATGTGCGTGATGACTCGACTAACCATGTGCATATACGTTAAGTACACAGCAATTAAATGCTTTGTTTGATCTGCCAAAATTCCACAAGGTGCAACTGTGTGGCGGAGTGATTGCAGTCTTTATATACGTTACGTTCAGAAAAGGCGTTCCAGTATTGATACAAATTGTGCACACTGCAGCAGTTTCTTATAAAGGCAGTTCTAATTCAATCCAAAATACATAAATTCATCCAATGTATTAATTATTAAATGTCTTAAAACGATATAAACACAAATGTAATTATACGATAAAAGTGATATCAATATAATAGAAATTACAGTAAATAACCAGAAGGTCTTTACAATCAGGGAAATGTTTTATTATTATTGTTTTGCCGTGACTTAGCAACATCTCCTGGTCTCACTAGCACTTTGTTATTATGAATTTTTCACTTAATCAAAACTGTTTCGTGATGTAACTTTACAATATCTTTGTACGTTCTTCAATACAACCCATTTGACACTACGAAATAAATTGCTAACGAATTTCTTTACTTTTTTAATAGACCATCGCAAACTAGTATGAGACTATTCTTCTTTCCTTTTAAAGTCACTTGCTTTAGGAAACAGTGAATTAGGAATTAGGTCTTTCCTCATGTGTTTAAAAACTGCTTTTAATCTGGCATGCGAGAAACACCATTGTTGTTAGTGGTATTGTAGAGGCTTTAACAAACTGGAGGCGCAAGCGGCCGCAATAAAGACACGTAGTCTTATAAAAAGCAACGCTACGGATATGTTCTTACATGACACTCCAGGTAGAATGAACTAGTATTTTCCGGATCCAATTGGGCATTAGCCCCTTTGCAGATATCTATATTCGCAGAAATTACAAATGCCTGGTGGCCACACGTTTCTTGAAACAATTTTTTTCTTATGTAGTAGTTGTTCACTACATTAAAAACGTTACAAAAATGCTGTTAAGTGGTTCATACAAATGAAATAAGAATTCAATAAAAACTACATTTTGAGATCTGTTACCAATATAAGAACTCTCCGATTTGCTTAACACATGCAAATCAACAGAAAAATAACGTTCTAATGCCATTTAAGTTTTAATATTTATTAAAAATATTAGTACCCGAAGTCAACTCTCGGAAACACCTTTCCCATCTTACGCAAAATGAAATATAAGAAATCACGTTAAAGCACGGAAGGACAAAAATGTTTTTCTTGTATTTTCATTTGCATTGTTATAAGAACACAGAAGATAGGAAAAGTGTTCCCAAAAGACATCTTTGTTTTAACAAATATTAAAAATTTGAAATGTATTTTGTTTACTTCTTAATTCATATTACGGAGTAGGCCGAGATCCTTAGGGCAGTAGTACCGTAGCGGTCTCGGAGCAAAAGACCGCGGGATCGAATCCCGCCTCGGCCATGAATGTATTTGTGTCTGCCTGTGTGTGTACCGTCCTTTCATCCCTGACTTAAAATCGGCATTCAGCTAAAATGCTGACCCCCCCCCCCAGAAAAGTACTTGCACAAGGATGCACACCTGGTCTGTGTTGGTCTATTCCGGAAGATAAACAAAAGCAAAAAATAAAAAACAAAACAAAAACAACAAAAAACAAAAAAAATAATTTAAAAATTTTTTTTAAAAAATTAAAAAAAAAAATGAAAAAAACAAAATCATAATAAAATGAGTAACGTAAGATATCTGCTACCACCACTGAATGTCTGGTTTTATAACCGTTTCAATACTGACAGGGTCCTCTGGAGGGGGGGGTACTCACGTGGGCAGATGGTGGTGCAGTCGGTGCGCTGCACGGACGGTCCCGGACACAGCGCGCCGCCGTTGAGGGGCGCGGGGTTGGAGCACTGGCGGGAGCGCTTCTGCGAGCCACGCCCACAGCGCGCGCTGCACTCGGACCACGGCGACCAGGGCGACCAGCCGCCGTTCACTGCAACGCACAAGCACACACCACCGTGACACTCTGAGGGTAAAAAACACTTTCCTCCCTTCACTTAGCAGGAAACAGAGTTGACTTTTTTTTCTGGATTCATCTGAAATTCACTGACGTGTTTGAGAATTGCCCGAAAGTTTTAATATATTGCTTACCAGTATCTCTAACGTTATTTTCTTTCAAGTTCTTCACTTTTAAGTAGATAGAATGTATACAACGAAAAAGATAGAAATGTACCCTGCGGCAGCACAAGGCGTACCTGCAAACGATGTACTCCCCCAATATTCACAGCAGAAGACATTAACAGACAATTAACAGAACACGATTTCGTATCAACTGGCTTACCGTGTCCATTGAAGAGAAAAGAAAAGGATTTCCTCAGGATATGTTCCTTTCTAATTCCATATAAAGTGGATAGAAAAATGAGTCCCTAACATTTCTTGTTCTAACGATTACGACAACGTACTTCTTCCAATGCTTCTCTAGACGACTAATGGGAGCCGTTCGTTCTTGTAACGCCCGCCGGCGCGCGGCCCGAGGCTTAATGTCCTTCGCCTTACGATTCCAATTGAAGAGAATAGGTACTTCTAGCTCAGTGCGCGAAGCAGACGGTTGCGCAAAAATATACACACTTTTCACGAAGTCTGGTGTATCTTTCGCCATTCTTTTCATGCCAGTAAGCTTTAAAATGAAAAACTCCATTTTATGAAGCACAGTTTCCTTGTGACCATTATCTTCATCTAATTCTTCATACTGAGGCACTATTGCCTGTTGCACCTACAGATCTTTCCATCTTGTTGGTGGTCGACCAACATTTCTTTTTCCTTGCGGAATGTAATTTCATTTTGCTCGAGAAACTCTTGGAGCAATAATTTTGAATACATACAAGAGCCATTTTCCTCCACATGTTATTACGTTTCCATTGATGAATTACATTGAATTGACACATAGATGAATTTACATTCATTGACATACATTGAATTTTCCTGTTTCACTATTATTTGTCTTAAAGTCTAATTCTAAATATCCTGCTTGCCATTATCTTCCTCAGCTATGTTCGTAGAGCGTTAATAGACGGGCCCACTAACTAGCGGGAAACACCAAGCGCCGTTACAACGTTCCTACTCTCATGTGCATAACATTGCGGCACATCGCCCTTTCTTCAGAGCGATACTTTCCCCTGCGCTTGTCACCCCTTTTTCGCGAATGCCGCCCGGCCCCCTTCGCCCCGCAGGGCAGAGAAGCGAATTTTTGCCGGCGACCGCAGCGCGGCATTCGCCAGACAGATAAAGCCGCGATTCACAACAAAGTCGGCGGCGGCGCTGGTGGCGCTCACGCGGCATCGGAATTTGTTGCGTTAGTCTTTTATATCATCATAGTTAGCGGGGGCGCCGCGTGGGTGCGCATACCTCGGCGCCTAAAGCACGGGAGGGGAGGAGGAGGAGAGGAGTTACAAAGAGCGACCGCCGGGGGCGCCGGCGACAGGTATGCTTTGTCGCCAAGCGGTGGAGGGGTGAGGGCAGGGCGCGCACTCAGAGATCCCCCTCTCTGAGCAAAAGGGCACGTCAAGCCTCCTCGCTTCGTACACACGTAGAGAGGGCGAAAAAAATCTAGCACGTTTACGCAGACCAAATCGTGGCTTCGCCAAACAATGATCACGGTACTTTGGGGGGGGGGGGAATTGAAAAATCAAAAGGTACATAAAAACTGTGTTTATTTTATATTACTGCATCTAGTACAATCCGTACAAACATTTAAAAAAAAGGACCTGTTTTTCAGAAAGTCAGTTTTAGTTGTTTTTTGTTTTTTATAATACATTTTAATGTTTCGTAGTTCACCAGAAATTGCGAAGATCTTATCAACAACCTTACCAAAAATACTTTTTCGAGAATTATCACAGAGCATTACGCATTCATCGCGACAATTAAGAACGTACATCGTTGCCGAAACGCACTTGTAATTGTAGTAATTGGCGCTCAAAGACACGGAAGCGCGGTGAAGAGCAAAAAGAGATCTTGCAGCCGTCTCTGCGCATCCTGCGTACCCTTCATCACTCCAGTGGCGTTGGCGCCAGTTCCCTCTGTCAATCGGACACGCGCCACGACTCCGGCTCTCTCAAGGAGCGAGACCGGATTCGGTTCGACTCTTCATCAAAAACCGTGCTGAGCTGCTACATGCCTCTGGTTTATTCAGAGGGTGAGGTCAGGTAAAGAAAATGAGTGGTTGGTCCCCAACAATGTTGAAGCGACATATACAGCTAAGGTCTAACGGTTTTGCTACTTCTAGAAAACAAATGCTCATATAACCAGCGTTTGGCGCTTTGGATCGCTCTACTAGTGTAATTAGCAGCATAACAATGGTTTAGCACTAAAAGTTGCAAATACATTCTACCAGAGAGACCCAACAATCACTGTGCGCGCACGGACGCGGTGACAGTGGACAAGCGATAAGCGCAAAAAAATATTTTGGGTAAACAAAAGCTAATCAACCCAGGGGCGTTGGTGCCAGCGGCCTCTGTCTATCAGACGTGGGCCAAAACTCTTAAACGTCTTTCCCTGCTCTCGCACGGATCAGGTCTGGATCCAGCAGTGGAGCAACCGGCCCTCCAAAAGGGCTCTGCCGCCAACGAGCGAGCGAGGGTCGGCGGCGGGGGTGAATACGAAGCGGAGTCACCTTGAAACAGAGCGGAGAGGGGGAGGGAGAGGGGGA